CAGGGGTGGTAGAGAGAGGAAACAGGAAGTGGGTCTTTGCTTTCTGTTTCTGTTTTAAACAAAACCAGTCCAAGAGAAACCAAAAGTACCACGGTGGGCTGTAAAGAAACAGAAGGGACGGACCGAACTCTTCCCTCCCCTCCCCAAGCATCTTGCAGACCCCACTTGGCACCTTCAAGGCCTTTGTCCTGTGGAGGAGAGAAGGGATGTATTTGAACACCTCTGAGGCTGATGGGGTTCCCTTTTCTGGGAGATGATTTGTCGTTGACAGTTTTACTTTCTGGTCTCTTTGTGGGGCTGCAGAGGAACATCAGAGGGGTGAAAACCCCTGAAGCAAAGCCTCACACTGTGCAGAAGCAAACAAACCAGCCATGCTCAGATGAATTAAGTACGTATTTGGGAGACAGAACAATCTGGGTGCCATAGGTTGTCTTGGGGGTCTGCCTTGCGTCGTCTTGTGTGTGAGAAAGCTAAATGCCTCAGAGCTTTTTTTTTTTTTTTTTTTGGTTTTTCGAGACAGGGTTTCTCTGTGTAGCTTTGCACCTTTCCTGGAACTCACTTGGTAGTCCAGGCTGGCCTCGAACTCACAGAGATCCGCCTGGCTCTGCCTCCCGAGTGCTGGGATTAAAGGCGTGCGCCACCACCGCCCGGCTATGCCTCAGAGCTTTAACGCAAGGCTGGTCTGGCTGTTCTCATGTTCCTCTTTAGTAGGCCTCATAGCTGCCCAGTTTTATTCCCAATGACTTAGACTCTCGAGGGATCTCGGACGGTCTGTCATCATTGGCCTTCCTGACAGGCCGGTTCTTTGGGTCAGAGTCATTGTCTTACAGTGTCGGTTTCCCACCAGTGCCTGACTCAGCAGTGTGCCTGCTGCTCAGCACAGTGCCTCGTCATCCCTCCTGGTCGTGATGATTGGCCAGATCCCTGGCCATCGCCTGTTTCCATGGGAAGATGCTTGATGGTGAACACTCGTGAAGCAAACAATGACAACTAGGAGAGGGAAGGTCACTTCAGAATAGGCTGAGGGCTCAGATGCGTTCACCCCAGTGTTGTTTCTAAGAGGAAAACAAACAAACACAAGCATGGAGATGGTAGGGCTCCTCCGTAAGGGAGATGAGTAAACTGAGGCACATAAGAGCACCAAGTGAGACAGTGAGCAGCTATTTTAAAGAATAAGGTACAGCCAAGTGTCCAGCAGGAAGACCAGGAAAGTTAGATGGCGTGCTGCCATGTGTGTAAGAGCAGAAGGAAGGCGTTCACACATGTAAGATGCATAATTTGGGGAGCGGGGGAGGCACAGGAAACAATATTAGTGACTTCCGAGGACTGAACTCAGAGTTAGCAGTGAGAACTTAATTTCTGTCAGTTAAAAAAAAATATGATGGTATTGCTGTGTGTGTGTGTGTGTGTGTGTGTACACTAGCTAAAAGAACAACTATCTTTAGACGGAGCTGAGAAAAGTTAAGTCCCCTCCCTGGGCGGGGCAAAGCAGGGCGCAGAGAGGGTGATGAGAGCAGCAGCAGGCACGTATCTCCCCCTCCGAGTGGTTCTTGGCTCTGCCTGGGGCTCACTACCGGCCAAACCAAACAAACCCCAGCTCCCCAGGGAGGTGGGGACTAGACTGAGACTTGTGACTCATGGACCTAACACTGACTGACCGTTGCTGCCCTCCTTGCTCTGGAGGATGGCCACACACTCCCCAGCCCCTCACACCACATCGAGTACACAATTCATTACTACTGTGGAGTGTTACTTTAACTAGGCAAAGATCTGTTACACTTGTTTATGCTGTGGAATATCACTCCGTGAAGGTATGCTACATTTGTTTCTGCGGCCTTTGTTAATGTTGTAAAGATGGGTTGCATTTGTTTCACCTTGCCTGCCTAAGGCACCTGATTGGTCTAATAGAAAGCTAAACGGCCAATAGTTAGGCAGGAGAAGGATAGGTGGGATTGGTGGGCAGAGAGAATAAGTAGGAGGAGGAATATCTAGGCTTGAGAGAGAAAGAAGAGAACGAGGGAGGAAGAGAGGGACATGCTCGGGGCCAAAAGTCAGGCAGCAGCCAGCTAGACATGGAGACAGCAGGAAGTAAGATAAACAGAAAGAAAGGTAAAAAGCCTCAAGACAAAATGTAGATAAGGAGAAACGGATTAAAATAAGAGCAAAGCCCAGGCAGCAGTGGCACATACCTTTAACACCAGCACTCAGGAGGCAGAGCCAGGCAGATTTCTGTGAGTTCGAGGCCAGCCTGGTCTACAGAGCGAGATCCAGGACAGGCACCAAAACTACACAGAGAAACCCTGTCTTGAAAATCAAAAAAAAAAAAAAAAAAAAAAAAAGAAGAGCCAAGCTAAGCTAAGGTTGAACATTCAAAACTAGTTAAGTCACCACGTCATGATTTGGGAGCTGGTTGGTGGCCTAAAAGAAAAAGCCTGGTACACATTACTTTATAGCTGTAGATGAATCAGGCAACTAAAAACAAACAAACAAACAAAAAACCCAAAAACAAAACCATTAACACTTCATCACTGCTCACTGCATGGAGTCAATTTTTACTTTAGCATTCAAGATGTTCACGGTTTGACCTTACAGACCCTTCTCCCTCTTAACCTGCATGATTTCTCAGTACATACAAATACACATACCTTCTTTGGAATCTGCTGTACATCTGGCTGGAATCCTGACGGCTATGTACCCCCATGTGACCCTAGACAAGTCCCTTGACTTTCTGCATCTTGTTTCCTCGTCTGGAAAATGGGGGTTACAGTAAGAGCATCCACTGTGTGGATGTGATGCTGGTGTGGAGTCACTGGAGTTAATGTCAGTGTGAGCAGAAGGGCTGCATCACAGCAGAGGCTGCTGCAACATGGCTGCCCATCTTTCTCCAAGGTGTTCCAGGTCTTCCCTAACCACCCTTCTTGGATTTCGTAGCTGGCAAATCTGGCAGAATGTAGATTCCTTGACCTAACCCCAGCAAGGCCAAGGAAGCCTGCAGTGGATCCTGGGAGCTTGTTCCCAGTGCCATGGATAGTGACGTGCTGGACCCCACCAGCACTGGGTTTCAGTCTTTGTAGGTACGTATTATCATACCCAGTTTATGTGGTACTGTAGATTGAACCCAGGGCTTCATGCATGGTAGGCAGGTATTCTACTAACTGAGCCACACCCTCAGGCCGTTCCAGTCTGTTTGGTGGTGTCTCTCATAGGAGAACTTGGAAGGGCATCTTGCTCTTCCCTCTCAGGGTCCCGTTCCCTTCTGTCTTCAACAATGCCTCCTATGCATCAGGCTCCCAGAAAGTGCTCATGGACCTGTGCCAACCTGCCAGAAATCAGGATCTCCTCAGTCACCTGTGGGACTGAGGCGTGCTCAGGGAAAACTGTGGTATAGCTGGTGCCACACTGACCATAGGTCCCCAGCAAAGGCATCAGCCTCCCCCAGGTCTGTCTTCCGACAAAGCCACCCATCTGGGTTTTCCTGGAAGGAAGAAAAGTTTCCCTCAACCAGGGCATGCTTAGCGCTCTACACGGTCACTTCAGATCGCCTTCCGAGCGCCATGCAGGTTCAGGTTCAAGGCAAATTCACCCTGGATGACTTGGGCGACAACTTGGATAGTGAATCAACATGCTATTTCCAGGGAGCTGTAGTTTGGATGTTGCGGCCGCTCCACACCTGCCAAAGGTTCTTGCATTGGAAGACTGGTCATTGCATGGTGGTGTAGCAACTTTACGAGGTTAAGTCTAGTGGGAGGACCTCAATTTAGGGGTCCTTGAAGGAGATTAAGGTGTTCCTTGTGGGACCCTGGTTAGCTCTCCCAAAGGTTATTATAAGCGCCTCAGACTGTCTCTCTACCTCAGTTAAAACAGTAAACACTTCTCCCACACTTGTTCCCATTACAGTGTGATGATAGGTCTGCCATCCTCACCAGAAGTCAAATGCAGCCGTCTGATCTTGAATCTAGAGCCTTCTAAACAGTGAGCTATATAAACCTCATTTCTTCCTAAGCAGTTTGCTTTGAGTATCTCACGGTAGTAATGAAAGCTTGCCAGTACAGAGGGCTGTGGCTGTGTAGGCCATAGGGCATCGATGTCTTTCCTTGGGAATGGTCTACCTTGTTTTTTTGAGATGGGGTATCTTATTGGTCAGTGAGGCTAGGTTGACTGGCCAGGAAGCCCTGAAGATTCATCTGTCTGTCTGAGATTACAATCATCCTCTGCTACATCAATCAGATATTCATGTGGGTTCTGGTGATTAATTTCAGGTCCCTGTATGTGGTGATATAATGTGTCCCCCAATATAATGTGCACCCTAATAAAGCTTATCTGAGGCTCAGAGGAAAAAGCCAGCCACTATAGTGAGAATAATCTACCTTTTTCTCCTATCATATCTGCCTGTATTTGTATGGCATGCACTTCACTGAGCCATCTCCTCAGACCCTGGCCTGGGACTCTGGAGGGCATTGTCCCCTCCCCTAACATGACCAACCTCACGGTCCTAACTAGCTCACCCTTGCCAACAGGTGCAGCAAACTCTCCTGGGGCCTTCAGCAGAGCAAGGGGCAGACACTGGTGCCGTCCCCCGTGTTTGGGAGGGAAGGGTAAGTCTTTGGTGCAAAGGGCTGCGGAGAGGGAGCTGTCTGTTGTGGAAAGGTCCCGTGTGCTCAGAGGACTAGAGCTTTAGCTTCGAGATGAATCTTCAAACAGCAAAAGCTCCTCCTTTGCTCCAGGGCCCCCATCTTTGCACAGGGGCTTTCTGAAGGGAGGCCTTGTGCTGGACTCTGCCCTGCAGCCCGCTTTCAAAGGCACTTCGGGGAACCCCGCAGGAGGTGCACAAGCTGCCTTGAAGGCAGAAGTATTCCGTTTTGTTATTTTAAAACATCTCCCAAGGGTGTAAGAATAAAATGGTATGTGTGTGAAAGCTTTGCTCGCCAACAGGAAATCTACCCTCATCCCTAACTCTGCTTTAAAAGATTCCTGAAGTAAAAACAAACTCCACTCCTTAGAAGAAGTTAATTCTTCCTTTATTATAAATAAGGCAGCCTGAAACCCCAAGAGCCTGCTGCTTCAGAAGCAGCCCGGGTACACACACAACAGGCTCCTGTTCCCGCCAAGTGCCCCCGCAAACAAGAAGCCAGAGGTGTTCATCCTGTGACCCTTCTCCCGGAAGTAAAAGAGAAACTGAAGGAGGTTCAGGCTTGGTCTTGGCCTCTGGAGGCTGGTTCTTGGTTGTTGTTGTCCTCTTGGATGCACAACGGAATACAAATGAACAGGGACAAGGCACAGATGACAATAAATAAGGCCGTCTGCCCTGACCCTGGAAGGTACCTACTGGATGAGGTGGCTCAGGGCTGCTGATAGAGCCACACTGTGAGTAGGCTCATTTTACAGGGTCCTAGATCACCACTTTGAAGTTGTGGAGGGGCGGACCACACATGCTCAGTCTAACTCCTGCTTACACGTAGGCATCCTATCATCTCTGGTTACCCTGCACACAGTAGATCCTCTCCACCACCAATTAAGCTCGGTGGTTAAATGGAGCTCTCTAAGGCCACGTGAGGCATGTGCGGGGCTACGGGAAGCCTGGTTTTGACACATGCAGCTTGTTGTCTTAACTTCTGGAGGGTCAGTGGGTACCACCTTGTGTTCTTCATTTGTGTTTCTTCTTTGGTCCACTGTCAAGTTACTAAGGAGATGTGGAGAAGAAATCTCAAACAATCAAGTTCAAGTGGAGAAGAAGCTGCTGGATCCTCTGAAACAGGCCTGGGTGGGAGCCCAGCTCCAGCCTCAGGCTCTGATGCTTGCTTGGGGTCCGCAACACTCTTTCGAGTTCCCAGGCTGTGGCTGAAGTACCCACATAGATCCCCAGTGAGCCCAGGCTCCATCACGTTCTTTCAGTCTGGGTCATCCATGAGGTCAGCAAGGCTTGTTCAGAAAAGACTGGCTATGCACAGGGGGTGAGGCCCTCTTGGAGATAGGAACTGGGAGATGCTTTGGGTCTGTGGACCAGAGCTGGGTTTTCATAGCACCTCTGGCTTATAAACCTACCCTTCCCTATAACCAGGACCCTGAGGACAGGTTAGGGCTATCATAATCCTTGACCCAAGGTCCTGTAACTTTCTCCAAAGTGGGCCAAAGTGCAAGCCAGACACGAGTATCTTTGCCCCTCTACCACATTGCTGGCTGGTAAGATCAGCTATGGAGACGGGATGGGCTTCTGAGCCAGCATCCAGTGTGGTAAATGGCACCCATCGTAGTCAGGACCTGGTATAAGGGTAAATAAAGGGACAGGGAGAGGGTGTGCACCTGAGTAAGATGTGTGGCTGAAAAACTGGCCAACTTTAGACTCTCCACCACCAAGTACCCATTTCTGTGCAATGGAGAAATTAGCCCCCCGGGTTCCTGGACCTCTGCCAGGTTCTTTTCACCAAGTAGTATTAACAAATGGTGGCACCGTGGGACCTCTATTATTGTGCGTGATGTGGTTCAAAGGCTGTGAGTTGCCACATCTGTCCCCATTCATGAGTCAGCTGCAAACAGCCAGGACCAAGAGTTCCTGGAATAGAGTGTTGAGTCTTAATCCCATCCCTGGCAACATCCTAGGTGATTCTCTGTCGACAGGAAGCACAGAATGGACTGTGATACAAAAAGGATTACATTCAGGTCAGTGCTTGCATTCTCTCTAACTCAGTACCCAGAGACTGTTCCGTCACTGTCTTGGTCATTCCTAGTGATCTCAAACTAAGCTACAAAGGATCGGTGCCCGAACCCAAACAACGGTTTCACCAACAAGCCCCTGTGGCAGAAAGGCAAACCAGGGTCCAGCTGCAATTCTGTTTCTTCCCTCTGCAGGACCTGGCTTCCCAGCAAGCTGAACCTCAGCTCCCCTCCCCCGAGGCCTACTGTGTTTCCTGCATGGGGCTACAGAACCCACGTAAGGTAGACGCTTGGGATGCTTCTCCCCCGGCCCTCGAGTCTCAGGCTCTACAAGGCGACAGCTTTTGGTGGTGGGCTGGCATGGTCTGAAGGGACATGGAGGGAATATTCGCTAATGAGCGTCGGGGCATTCTTAAGCATTTCATAGAAGGAATCCACTGTGCTGCGGTAAAGAGTCCGCTGCAGAACGAAGGGCCGGAAGAGGTTGATAGGCTCCGCTCTGCGCACAACCTCTGGGAGTCCCATAGCCTCAGGCACCTTGCAGTTGCCCACAAAGAAGTGATGGAGCTTCTTCTCCAGGAGGCTCCTCTCCAGGAAGCAGAAGAGCTCCTGCAGGCGCACGTCCAGCTGGTTGCCCTTCCAGTCAGCAGCCCGCCGGGAGAGCAGGAGGTGCAGCAGGGCAGTCTTTAGGTGGTAGTTGCTCAGCCCACTGGGGCCTGTCAGGCGGCTCTGCTTGGAGAGCAAGAAGGAGGCGATCTGCAAACAGCTGAGGTGGCAGGCACCCTCCGGCAAAGCCTTTGCTGTCATCCGGAGGAACTGTCGCTCATAGACAGCAAAGGACAGGAGCCAGTCAGTGCTGGAGGCTGCGGTTCCCCTGAAGGGCTCCTTGGGAAGTTGTGGGATAAAGAACAGGTCTGAGTCGTTATATTGGATCACAGGAGTCAGGATGAAGGGCATAAACTTCCCTGAGCGGAACTTGATTTTGAGAGACCCTGGGTTGTCTAGCTGGCCAAAGGCAAGGTCAAACTCGTATTTGTGGGCGATGCGGTGCCAGGCTCTGGTGAGAGCCACCTGGAACCACTTCATGACCTGCATGGCATCTAGGTACGAGGACTCTCTGGAGCACAGCAAATCCTCCATCTCATCACTTCCCCCGCCACTGGGCTGCACCCCACTATTCTTGCCATGGAGGAGACACAGCATGTCTTCCCCGAGCTTAGTCTTGTCGCAGATACAGCCTAAAGGGTCCCCGTCAGCCAGAGTCACCTTGATCTGACCGTAGCCCTGACGATTCAGGGGCACTGAAAGGCTGGAGCACCAGAGCTCTGGGTGGAAGCTGTAGGGCTCTGGGGGCACGAAGGGCACAAACAGATGGCACAGTAGTGGCCTCTCCACTTGCCAGTTTTCATACATGCTGTCCACGCCAATGAAGTCCTCCATCTCCATGTCAGTATCTCGGTTGCAGACACTCCTCAGAGCTTCCAGCAGGTCATCCACGAAGCCTTCCACAAACTCCCGGGTGCGGGTGGCATCACCTGTGGCACTCCGGATACAGTGCTCGTAGAAGTGGCCCAGGGTGGCCTTATTGGGCAGGGGAAGGCCCCGCAGTGGGCTGCCCCCCAGTCCAGACAGCTCATCCTCATCTCCACCCAGGCACTCTGGAAAGGGCCCGTCCTGGTGGTCCTGCCGCCATATCTCGATGATCAGGAAGAGGATCATGCAGAGAGTGCTCCAAAGGTCCCAGGCCGTGTGGGCCTCTGACTGCTGCTGGCCCTCCTCTTCTGCCTGCTGCAGGGCCTCCTCCTTCTCCGCCACCAGCCGTGACACCTCTTCCTCCAGGCGCAGCTGCTCCAGCTGCAGCTTCTCCTGGTGTTCCTGCATCTTGCGAATGATCTCCTCCTCATTCTCGGGAACTGTGGCGTTCTCCCGTGGGAACAGCAGGGGGTGGTTAATGATGGCCGTCACCACCACCAGACATACCCGGAAAAGCCCCAGGGCCATGGCTGTAGTGTTCCTAGGAACAGAGAAAGACAATGCTGGTCACACCTATGTTTCCTTCAAGGACCCTTCTCCCTGGACCCTCGTGCCAGCCTCTGCCCCCAACAGCTAGTGACGGTCCTCACACTTAACGCCAGCGGTCTCGTAACCATCTCCCATGCTCCAGCCCAGCCTGAGGCTTAACACATGTCACAGACATCTCCTTCTGTCGGCAGAACATCTCTCGATGGAGCCGGAACATTCTTGACCCTGAGGGTCAACCTTCTCTCTTCACGGCCCTTTGGTTGGGGTAGCTATAAACCCATATCTCAAATCCAGAGGTGAGCACAGACACCAGACCCAAGACAACAAGACTATTCCAGACAGCCACAGCTACACCCACAGTGATTGGTTCTGTGATGAATATATGAACAATCTGAGCTAATGGGAAGAAAGGCTTTCTATGTAATTCCCAGGGATCCAGGAATTTGGCTACGTCCGGCATGGGATATCTGAGGGGAAAAAAAATCTATCTACACTGTGTTCTTATGTCTGTTAACTTTATTCCTCTAAGACAAAATTCTATCAGTACAGCTACAGCTCCACCAGGCATTCAGGGCAGGAACAACTCTAGACACACCGAGTTCATTATCCATCTACTTTATTTCTCTGGGATGAAGTCCTGTTTCCATAGCTTCAGTTCTGTCCAGCTTCCTAGCTCATAGTCCTGCTAACGACTAAACTCCTATGCTTCCAGCCTCGTCTTCGTCCTCTGTTTCCTTTTTCTCCATCTCTGCTACTCTCTACTTCTGGCACTCAGAAAACTCTACCCGAGATCTGCTGACCCTCTAGGAACCTCTGTCTTCCTCTCCTCTCTCTCGCCATGCTGTTCTCTCCTTCCACAGAAAGTGCCTGCCCTTTCTTTCCCTGGGCACGTGGTTCTCTGCCTCCTCAGGAATGTTATTCTACCTCTCACCTTGATATGTAAAAACCTCTTTTGTTCTCAGTCAGTTGCTCTGGAGAGCCGCTAGGCCCCGGGTCAGGGGGATGATGCACAAGAAACAAAGCTCTGCGTGTTCCGCCAGCTTGTCTTTGCTTAGGTGACCTTACCCAGGTGCTGGCTCCAGCAGCGAAGTTACCTAGAAGTTCAGCAGGTCTGAAAATACTTGGCCACGCAAGAATTTCATAGTAGAAGACAGCTGGAATATTAAAGGCTGGAGAGCACCAAATATTCATCATAAATGGCTTGCCTCTTGACAGAGCCTTGGCCGGCCAAAGCACAGCTTTAACACACAGCTGAATCTCTATACTATATGCTTGCGGCCCGCAAGAGCTTTCCTTGTTGCGAGGGTTGTCTGATAACAGGATTACTTCTACAGAGTGGGCTGCTCTTCAGCCACCAGCAAGGGGAACCTGCCGCCCACATAGAGTAACCCCGGTACCCGGCTGTGTGTGAAACCGTTACTTCCGGTTTCTGCAGGCAGCTGCGTCAATCCGGAAATCCTCTCACTTTAAGCTACGCGAGTTGCTCTTCAACCTTCAAGTGACTCGGCCTCAAACACTGCCTTCTACTTCCACTGAACTTTGTTTAATGAATGCGAATTCCTGCAATACACGAAGACCTGGTGGTTAAGAACGGCCTGTGCCAAAGCTAGCCCTGTCACAGAATAACTGTGTGATGCTGGGCCTGTTAACTCGCCTCTCTGAGCCTAGGTTTCTTGGTTTAAAAGAAGGTAACTGTACCCTCACAGGGTCATGAAGTTGATGCTACTTGCTTCTTTTATCAAACCATTTGAACTCTGATTCTGATCTCTGAACAGCTTCTCCAGGACAAATGGATTTTTAGACCTTAAGTAATTTTTGGGAGAAAGGCTAACCTCTTGCAATATTTGCAATGGAAATTGTGATACACAGAGCACTGGTGGAGTATCACCTGAAATATTGCTAGAAACCCAGAATCAAGCCAGGTATGGGGCTGACACACTTGGGAAATGTAGTCAGGAGGACTGCCATGAAATTCAAGGTTAGCCTAGGCTATACAGTGGGACTACCAAAAAAAAAAAAAAAAAAAAAAAAAAGAGGGGGCTTAGCAGGTAAGCACGTTTGCTGCTCTCGCAAAGAACCAGCGTTTGGTTCCTCATCTATCACACAGCAAACAGTTACCTGTCCTCTAGTTTCAGAGGAAGTGATATCCTCTTCTGTCCTCCAAGGGCACACACACACACAGATAAAAATAAATTAAAAGCAAAACACACCAACAGAAAACTAAATGTAGAATCCCAGCCCCACTCTTGACCTCACTTAGAATCTGTATTTTCAAACCATCCAGATGGGGTTGGGGTTGGGGAGATGATGGCTCCATGGCTAAGAGCACTGGTTACTGTTGTGGGGTATGTGTACACTGTGAAGAGGTATTACTATGATTGGTGTATTAAAAAGCTGAACGGCCACTAGCTAGGCAGGAGAGTACAGGCGGGACTTCTGAGCAGAGAGAGAGAGAGAGAGCTCTGGGAAGAAGGGTGGAGTCGCCAGCCAGATGTGAAGGAAGAAGGATGAACAGATGGAGATGAAATTAAGAGCCTCACGGAAGAACAAAGATTAAAGAATGTGGGTTAATTTAAATTATAAGAACTAATTAGATCAGGCCCTCTGGATAAGTGAGACAGTTGATTAGCTTGAACTGTTTGGGAGGCACCCAGGCAGCGGGACCGGGACCTGTCCTCAGTGCATGTGCTGGCTGTTTGGAACCTGGGGCTTATACAGGGACACTTGGCTCAGCCTGGGAGGAGGAGACTGGACTGAATCTACCAAGTTGAACTCAATCCTCAGGGGAGTCTTTGCCATGGAGGAGATGGGAATGGGGCGTGGGCTGGGGGGAAGGCGGCTGCGGGGGGGGGGGGGGGGGGGGGGGGGGGGGGGGTCGGGAGGGGGGAGAACAAGGGAATCCGTGGCTGATATGTAAAATTAAATTAAATTATAAAATAAAATTTAAAAAAGAACTAATTAGAAACAAGCCTAAGCTAAGGCCGATCTTTTATAATTAATAAGTCTCTGGTCATTATTTGCAGGCTGGCAGTCCTGATGAGAAAGTACTACAACAGGTTACCTTTTTCAAGAACGGGTGTTTGATTCCCAGCACCCACATGGTAGCTCTCAACTGTCTATAACTCTTGTTCCAGGGGGAATCTGACGCCCTCTTCTGGTCTCCTTGAGCACTGCATGCTTGTGATAAGGACACACACATGCAGACAAAACACCTATTCCCATTTTTTAAAAAAGTCAGTTGCTCAGAGTCAACTGTAACTTTTAAGTCACATCCTGAGCAATGTGTTGAAATCATGCTGCTCTGCTCTTTCTTGATTGGAATATGAGTCATACATCTGTCCAACATATCCCCCCACTATACACTACCCCCTCATTAGTAACTAGTAAGCCACCTTGGCCATCAGGCGGGCTGCCATGACAGATATCACAGTGCTTATTTATGTCAAGTAGCCCTTATTTAACTCTGTGGCCCCAAGTGCAAAGGCAATGACAGCGGTGATTTGGATATGAGAACAAGAAGCAGAAAAGAACCTTTTTTTTTTTAATGTGAAAAAACAGGCATTCTCAAGGAAAGAAAGAAAATCATATTCCAAGGTCTCCTGTCTGAGACTGTGACGAAGGAAAAGAAATTCTTGGGAGTTTTGTTGCTGCACCTCAAACTGTAGAAGCTGTAGCTATAATGCGTGGTGAGCGGAGGGAAAGACTGTAGGGGTGTGTGTGTGTGTGTGTGTGTATGTGCGTGTGCGTGTGTGTTTAGGATAAGGGGCACCTCTGCATTAACCTTACCCTGCATCCTCTCCTCTCCTAGCAGGAGCCTTGGGAATTAATCACCTACCCTTTCCATACCTGCCCTGTCCCTTTCCTTCCAGTGACCTCAGCAAAGACAGCAAAGATCTTGAGATTATTGATGGCCAATAAAGAGAAGAACCCTGGGGGGTGGGGTGGGGGGCAAGCCAACGCTGGCTGACAGGAATTTCTAGGCCCTTTGACTTGAGTCCTCTGACCTTGAATTTGCATGAGGAAATTCTTGCCCTCACAGTACCTGGGAAAGGGGGTTCATCAACAGGTGAGGATTCCCCAGCAAGGGGAAGGTGTACACTCACAGCCCGTGTTGGCTGCCGGCCAGGGAAGCTGCTGGTCCAATGTGAGTCAGACAGCTCCACCCCGTACAGTTGCACCAGTCAGCAAGATCCAGAGGGGCTGGGAAGTGGAGGTTAGCCCCAGGGAATTCCAAGAGGAGACAAGTTCAGGCTGCGCTCTGAAGAGCCCACGGGTTTGAACAGATCAGGAAGCCAGGGACTGGAGAAAGTGCAGGAGGTCAGCCTGGAGGAGATAGGATGGGGGGAAAGTCCAGGGGCGGCCAGCCAGCCTCCCACTCAGAGCCGGGGGAGAAACACGCTGGATAACTGCAGAAACAGAGCGACCATGCTTTCCCCCACACAGAAACAGCAAACGATGACCCACCAGGGTGGCCCAGGCAGAACTGTGAGGCTGGCTGACGAGCTTCAAATGGAGTACCAGCAGCATAACACCAGATGGCAGCCAGCTAGCTGGTGGCCACTGAAGTTCCAAGGTCCTCCCGGGCCCCTTGTGACACAGGCAGCAGCAGCCTTTGGGCACCCCTGTACCCATGGCGACTCCCATGGGAGCTGGAGTCATGGGAGGGAGTCAGTGTCCACACCAACTGAGGAGGGAGAACATGCCACCAATGGGGGAGTGTGGCCAACACTCAGCCCTGGACTGGAAAATCCTCTTCCCCCTCACACAGCAGCTTCAGCCGTCTCACCAGAGCAAGGCCTCATGCCTGCTGAAGGACGCCCGACTCTAGGAACCCTCTTGCTCAGAACTCAAAACCAAGGAGTTAAGAGCACTTGGAGGAAGACAGACTAAGTTAACAAAGGCATAGGCACCTCGGACAGATTACTCCGCTTTCCCAATCCTCTCTCTGCGTCTGTCAGATGGGAAGAGAGCCACCTGCTGTCTTAAAGCCTGCATGGGGCAACGCCCCCCAGAGCCTCAGTGAGCGCCTTGCCACTGAGTGACCGATCTTATCAAAGAGTGGCTGTGATTGTGTAGAAATACACAGATGCCCCTGCCTGCAAGGGGGCTCTGGGGCCACAGGCAGCACCCATGGGGGTTACAGACAAGCCTTGTCAAAAGCACAGGCAACCAGCACAACAAACAAGGCATCCTGCTTTAGAGACACCCGGCAGACCTGGCCTTGAACTTTGGCTCTGGCCCTGGAGGTGTGTTCTCAGGTGGACCACTCATCTTCTCTAGGGCTCCCATCCTCATCCGTGAGGAGGTCAGAATGGCCCCTCCTTTACAAGGGTGCAGAGGTCAAGTGCTTATGGGGGCTCAGTACAGTGTCTGGCCCAGAGCAGGCACCCCACATGTGGCAACTTCTCCCCCCTGGGCCTCCACAGGCCTGTTTTCTCACCAGCCAAGCACACCAGCCCTGCCCTCGTCTCAGGGTGTGGAGGAATGAACGCTGGAAAGTGCTTTGGAAGCAGAAAACACTCCACTATTACTGCTGTTCCTTGGCACAGTGCTCCTTTCACCCTGCCCCTCCCCCTCCAGCAAATGGGGGGGATCCTTCAGAGCCTGGACCATCCTGCAAGTGGGGAGGCCCTGCCAACTCACCTCACTCAGCCATCACCTCCTTCCCAGGGGTCTTAACCCAGCTGTCATTTCGTCCCTTGCTAACCTCTGGGGAGGTTGTAAGCAGAGCCCCAGGGATGGGGTAGGTGGGCCAGGCCAAGATACTGAACGGCTTGTGGCCACTCCGTGCCTACCACCCAGAGCTGGGATTGAAGCCTCTGCTCTTCGGCTTACCAAGCCAGTTAACAGGGACCAGTGCCCTGAAGGCCCTGGGCAGGAACAGGGAGGATTTTGTGTTCTGACGTAAAGCTCTTGTAAACCAGGAATACATATATGTGCACACACACTTACATGCTCACACACCCTTCCTCAAAGGGTACCTTTCCCCCATTCCAAGGACATCTGTCTCTGCTGGTCCTAATGCTCTCAGCGTTGTGGCTGTCCCACACCTGTGGTCTGTGACATCTGTTGGCAGCCTTGGCCTTGGGAATAAACCTGGGTCATTTGGCGGGCTTTCGCCTGCTTGCCAGGAAGCAGACAGGAAGCCTGCTGAATTCCTCTCCACCCCAGCCTCACCCACAGGGAGGGCGGCTCATAGAGCTAAACTTGGCCTGGCAAGAAGCCAGATCTTGGGGTACAGAGGCTGGGGAGAGATGGTGACCAGTGGGTGTCTGGGTGAATGTGGTGCCCAGGACAGGTACTCTACCAGGCTCTTCCTGTAGGGCTAGTCAGAAGCCTAAGACCCTAGAGGAGAAACGTGAGGTGGCTACTTACTGGGCTCCCTTATTCCTGCACCCCAGAGCATTCCTCACAATGGCTTTGGTGGACAAACGCCACCAACAGTTTATTGGCTGTAGTTCCTGTCTCACAAGCCCTCACTAGGGTGGGCTTGGCACTGTCCACAGTGACCATTGTGGCCTTCCAAGAGGTGACTATGATCCCTGTTTCGCAGATGGGTTAATCAAAGCTCAAAGCACTTTCTAGACATGTGGCCACAGAGGCCAGAGCCAGCTAGATTTCCAGCTGCTCGGCCTGCCTCTGCCTGCAAAGCTCAGGCTTTCCTACAGGGCTGCTGCTGCGGCAAAGCACCCAGTACGAGGAGAGAGCTGCATCAGGATCCTCAGTGACCAGCGCAGCGCCATCCCTGACAGAAAAGCTGTACAGTCCATGTACAGACAGACACAAGCACCTCACCGGGACACATGAAAACACACAGAGAGCTTCATTCCTGTCTTTCGAAGGCCCTTTCGGCCCCATCCATTGGTGGGGGCGTCAGGTCCCTGACTCCATATTCAATCCCTCCCCCCTTTCCAGAGAATTCTGCAACAAGCCCGTGCCTTTCTCCTTCTGCCCCACCACCAGCCTACTGCCAACCAGGGCTGGAAGGATGACTCTAATCTTAGGCACTGAAGTGCCTCAGATCATTTCCCAGGGACTCAGTACCTCCCTCTGGGACTATGGGTCTCCAAAGCTCCCAACAGCAGCAGCACCTGGGAACTTGCTAGAGAGATGCATTTTCAGCTTCTGCCTGCTGATCAGAAATGCCAGGGTAGGGTCTAACACCAGTGTTTTAGCACACTCTCCTGGTGGTTCTTGGGCCCCCCCCACTGCTCTAGTCAGAGGACCACCCATTCTAAAGCCAGGTTCCTAAGTCGGGTACCCTCTGGGGAGAAGGAAAGTGGGGCTCCTGCCTTGTCACAGCTGGACTCTGGAGCTTGCCAAGGGCTACCAGCCTGTCAGATGTAATTAGCTCTGCTAATTAATTACAATAGCAGTCCGGGAGAGGCAGAGTCAAGAGGAAGATCTGATGGCTTCCTTACTGAAATGGAATAAAGGAGATGGATGATGGCAGACTCGTGTGTGTGTGTGTGTGTGTGTGTGTGTGTGTGTGTGTGTGTGTGTGTGTGTGTGTGTGTGGTGTGTTGGGGTGGTGGTGTGTTTTTTTTCCCCCACTGTCTAAGTTCTGGCCCCTTCAGGAAAGGAGTCAAGAAGACCCAGACTGTCCTGTTTATGCTGAACCTACTGTGTGCCTGGCCTTCTGTTTGGCGTTTCCAATTCCAGCTAATGAGATCCGGTTACGTCGGAGAAATAAAGCCAATACTGAGAAAGCCAGAATTTAGAATTGTACTAATCCAAGCCCCATTTTATGGACTTGCAAACTGAGGCCTAAAGGGGAGCTAGGTTGGACCTGGAGGGTGATGTAGAGGAGGAGGCTGAGGCAGGATGAGCATCCTCCTTGGGCCCTGCCAGGTGACACGTGGTAGGAATTTCTGGGCAGAAACATAGCAAAAGATGTTTTCATTATTGAGAGCTCCTTTGCACTGGGCACGACGTTAAGCACCCTGCAATGTGCTATTCCATGCCAGGCACAATACGAGGTCCTTTGACCATGCTCTCTACTGGTGCCAGACACAGTGCTTAGTGCTCTGTATGTGCGTGCCCTTTAACTTTCAGAACATCCAGATGATCTGCAGCGGGACCATCAGTGAGCATCACCCCAGCTGAGCCTGCTCCTCTCCCTCTGCTCTGTCTCCATTCCTCAGGAGGTTGAGGGGAATAAGTGGGTGGTCCATTACCTCCTGCTGCCGAAGGGTGCCTCCTGGCTACCAATGTGAGTGACAATTGACCACATCACCAGGGTGACTGTCTCTCAGGCTTCCTAAGCCCTGGAGAATCAGGGCCACATCATGAAGGCCCAGCGGACTGCAGAGCTCTTTTTGGTCTTTGTCTTGGTTTGGAAGGCAAGCCTGGGCAGCCCGAGCGCCATGGAGACCCCCTGCTATCGTCCAGCACTCCATCCCATCTCCGATCTCACACTTTTAGTGGAGTGGAGCCCCTAGCGTGAGACTGGGAGCAAGTGGACCTCCCCATTCTGAGTACTGCTGTAAGCTTGGACCACTGCCCTGACCTTTGTGATGTCATTTTATTCACTCATGCTGCTTTCTCACCCACAGGTCCAGCACAGCAAACCATGTGTCCTTGTGCAGCTTCCAAGGCACCCTGCATGGGCTAGATACAACACAGCCCAAGCTTGTCAGTGGGAACTGACTTAGCGAGTGCTGGGATATGGCAGTCACCTGTCTCTACCGACTCCATTGTTGGCTAACTCAGGACCCAGCACCAGGGCTCGGGCACCTCAGCTCAGTGTGCATGGCCTGCTATAACAGCACCCATTACCTTTTAGAACACCGGGGAGGAGGAAGGCCTGATAGAGCTGGCCTCTTGTCCAAGCAAGGCCCAGGGGAGGCACAAGGTACACCTCTGGCTGGACCACTCTTCACCTGTACCCAGATGAGGACAGGGAGGACATCTCTGCTGGGGGCTGGGGGCCGTGGCAGGCCTCTGGTCCTCGCAGGAGAGGGAAGGGCAGACAAAGAAAGGAAGTAAAGAAAGAGGAAGGAAGAAGACCGACAAGAATGATTGAGAAAGTAGGCAGAAAGGGTGTGGCCCGCCCCCACCCACCTCCTTTACCCAGAATGCTTGTAGCCCTGGCCTCAGCTACTGTCTACCTCCCCTCCTCAGTTCTTTGTTTTAAATTTGTCCAGTGGCTCTCCCTGCAGCAGTGGTGCTGAAGCCGCGGCTGTCGGGGAGAGGTGGGAGATAGGTCAGGTCACCAGCGAACAATAAGTCAGGGCCGAGCAGCGGGGGCAGCGGTCATTCGGATACACATGCTTTACCTGCGGGCAATGGCCACCACAGTGCATGTTCTGGGAACCCAGAGCGACAAGACCTTTTTTTTTTCTCCCTAAAAAAAGCCAATAATTTGGATTTTTATCAGAATCCTTCATTTTAAAGGACTGGTTACGACTTCAAAAAAATTCTGTTAAAGCCACTGAGTCCAATCAGCTATTCCAGAGGTTCTCCAGGGCCTGTGTACTGTCTGCAGCCCCTCACTGCCAGCGCCGGGCCTCTTCTCCGCTGCTGTCTGCCTCACTTCCCTGAGATGCATTGCTCTAGGCTCCTACCTCTAACTCCCCTCAGCAACTACTTGGCATAACTACTAATTCCTTCCCCAGCCTAGATCTAACCCCCGCCCCCAACCCAGTCCTGACTGTTCCAGTGTCTCCTAGTCAGCCAAGCACCCACCCTGGAAAGAATCATCGTGCCAGCATTTGAGGGATGACTTTGTGCCAGGTCTGTGCTGGGGGCTTTACGTAGATGCCAGAAACATTTGCTCTCTTTCCCATAGCTTCTAAAGAAATAGATACTAACGAGGAAACGGTGCTAAAGGTCTGTGGTTCTCAAAGACTGGAGAAACCCCTCTACCTAAGTCAGAGGAGACCCAGACAGACTGAGCAGACCACCAGTGAGCCAGTGGGAAGTGCTCACTGGGTTGGGGAGGTGGTCCCTTTGATGAGGCAAGCTGTGTTGTCCACATGGAGACTCTGGCTGAACCCAAGCAGGTACCAGGTCACATTGCCAAAAGCATTCTTGGAAGAGAAAGGAGTTTCAAGGAAGCCACCAGGATGCCAATCCTCTTGTCTGGACTGGGTCCTGAGAGTGGCCAGGGCAGTTAAGGGGCAGAGGAAGGACAGGGGCCTGGACCTGGTGGGAGGGTTACATCCTTCCTGCTCTGCATTTTCACTAGGTGGTGTGTCCCCCATTAACCACGGCAGGGAAACCATCCATCTCCCAGCAGGACAAGGTGTCCCTCTGTCCAGACCTCTGCCTGACGCCCCAGCAGCGGAGGACCTGGCCCACAGGGCATCACAGAACTGGTGACGTCTTGGGAATAGACAGGCGGAGGATGGGGTAGGGTCGGGAGGAAGGACTGCAGCCCTGAGCCCTGGCCACACCCCTTTCCTCTTAGGGCACCGGGAGTCCAGCAGTCACTGTGTGGACCGAATGGCAGGAGATGTGACTCGAGACTCACATCCAGGCCCTGGAGCGACCTTATTGGGAGGAAGGGACTTTGTAGATGTGTTTAGATGAAGGAGCTTGGGATGAAATCCTGGATCCAAGTGGGCCCCAAGTCCTTCTGAGGGGTAGAAAGGCTAGGGCAGAGCAGACTAAAACTCTCGATCTAGATGGGAGATGCTGTGTCAGTCAGGGGACACCTGGGCTGGAAGAAGAAAAGAAGGATCCTTCTAGAACCCGTAGGAGTGCAGACCCGAGACTGGTGTGGTCTCAACAAGAAAGCAGCCTTCTCTCTCCCAGCAACACCTCCCTGCCTCCACGTGGCTCTGCTCTGACCTCGGTTTGGCACCAATGATGCGTCAGACGGCACAGACTTTTGGGGTGAGGTCCTGGTATTCTGTTCTCCGATTGCCTGCGTCTCCTGAAGTCCCCCCCCCCCCCCACTTCAGTATACTCTTCTTTCCATGCAAAAGATCAAAGCGTTAATGCTCAGAGCCTGGCCACAGGCAGACTCAGGGGCTCCTCTCTTCACTCTCTGCCTCGCCTAGCCATCTGGGCCTTCGTTTCTGTAAGCTAAAACTCTACCCGATCTTCTTCTTTGTAAACTCCTCCCCAAAAGCATTTCAAGGAGCCTTCCAGGTTCCTCCAACTCGAGGTACTTCCCTCTCATTTGAAAAGAAAGAACAGGGGGAGGGAGTCAGACTTATTGACTAAGGCCCTGAATGTAGGCAAGGGTCTGGGGCCTTTGTAGGTGAGGCATCTCCTAGGTGTGCCTGACAAGTAACAGGCACACCCAAGAGCTGCCTCCCTGGGCCTCTATCCTTAGCGTTTTATCCCATGATGCTGCCCTGGGGGAGAGTGCCATCAACCTCACCTCACAGGGAGGAGCCCAAGGCACAGTCTGAGGCCATTCAACTGCTAAAGCGCCAGGCCTATACCTTCTGTGCCGAGCAACTAGCCTCGGCAGTTGGCTGCACTTCTTCAGTGTCAGGCTTCTCCAGGGCCGGGGAGGGGTGTCTTCTCTGCGTTCACATCCTGTAGAGTCCCTGCCACACACCTGCTCACAGTGCCAACGACTCACAGCTTACACTGGGCAGACCACACTCTGAAGAAAGCCTCCACAGACTCTGACTAGCGGTCTCCCACTGCCTGCTCTCTCCATGAGTTTCCTAGAGTGTGCACTGGCCAGAGGGGCCTCCCTAGACCCCCAGGGTTCCCACACAGATTTCTAAAGCTGAAACAGGCACTGTGGCTCACAGGAATGGCCTGTTAACCACTTCCCAGACTTGTATTGGTTTGGCTCAGGCAAGCACTCCAGAGAGTAGAATCCCCTACACACACACACACACACACACACACACACACACACACACACACACACACAGAGCCCTCCTTCTGGGCAGGGCATGCAGAGGCCCACTCGCACCCTTTCTGTTCCTCCACCTTGAGTTCTGAACACACACTGCCCTCCAGGGCTCCCTCCTTGGTAGCGCCGGCAGAGCAGGCTGCAGGGTGGACGCAGGATCCCCCCCGCAGAGCAGAGCCAGCCGCTGGAGTCCGGAAAGAGTTAGAGCAGAACCAAGGAGTAAACACAAAGGAAAACAAAAGCCCTCCCAGGCCCCTCCCCTCCCCACTGCCCCGCCTCCCTCCCTCTGGTCCAGAGGAGCTGGTGATGGTGGAATTACAGGAATTGTCAGTGCCCAGCAGCCACTTCGTTTTTGATCCTTGCCTGGGAACAAAGTCGGCTCAGAAGACAGCTTGTCTGAATTCTCCTGGACCACTAAGACACAGAGGAGGATGACCCCCCACCTACCCACTCAACCCATCTCCTCTAAGTCACCTAGGAGCCTACCCCCTCCCATCTCCTCTAGGGTACCTAGGAGGATGTCCTCCCACCCCCCAACTCCCACCCATCTCCTCTAGGGGACCTAGGAGGATGTCCTCCCACCCCCCAACTCCCACCCATCTCCTCTAGGGGACCTAGGAGGATGTCCTCCCACCCCCCAACTCCCACCCATCTCCTCTAGGGGACCTAGGAGGATGTCCTCCCACCCCCCAACTCACACCCATCTCTGCAGCCAAAGAAAGGCCTCCCCAGCTCATCCTCCTGAGGCTCAGGCAGTATCTGAAAGTAGTGTCTGGCCCCAACTGGCTAGGGAGAGGAGAGGAGAGAGAAAGGAAGCTCTCATGTACACACACTCACAAGCGCACGCGCACACACACACACACACACACACACACACACACACACACACACACACAAGCACACACAGAGGTGGGGGAGGGAGGGAGAGAGAGTCTGTGCCTGCAAAGTTCTCAAAACCCTTTCATCTTCTTAAAGGAGAACAAAGAGAAGCCAACCCAGCTGTAAAAAAAAAAAACCAAAACCGCTAAGAGCTGTGGTCAGCTTCTGCCTGTGCTGAACCTCAGGTTCCGGTGCTGGGACCCAGGCTGAACACCAGAATGGCTGCCTGGCTGCCCTCCCACACCTGTTGGTCACAGCTAACGAATTCTCTCTGGAACACAGAGGCCTGAACTGTCCAGCTTGGAACAGCTATTGAAGCCACTCCCTGAATTATCTGTGATGACACAGTCATACTTCTTGTGAGTTACCCAAAGCGAAACAGCACCAGCAACCTACCACCACTCAATTTCCAGCCACAGGGGCGGAGTGGCCATATGTTCTACCTAGGCTGTGCCTGGCGCTACGTAAGTGTCCAGATGAACACAAGAACCACGGCTGATCCATTAGCACCCTTTTTACAAACTTTTGCAAACTTCTGCTCTCCACCATTCCAAGGCCACCCAGAAACAGTCAGAGGCTCTTCAGCTAGGAAGAGTTTTAAGTCTGTAAAAGCTCAGAAGACAGTAAAGGGGCCTAACTGTGTGATCAGAAGGACTGGGGGAGTCCTGGCTCTGCCATGTGCCATGACACCATCATACCTACTCCACAACTTAAGGCCCATTGGTGAGGTATTGCACGTCACATTCGGTGCTGCGCACTGGAAATGACATTGTTGTTGGCATTTGTACTGTTTCTTTGGGAAGAACACAGTGAAGGGTGTCCCTGCAGATTCTTCAGAAGCCTGTGGACGCTAATTATCTCCTCCACTTCCTCCTCTTCTTCTGAAGGTCACAGAAGGAGAAGAGAAAGTCTGGTGACTTAGGAGCCTCAAAAGCATTTCCCACCCCCCATTCCAGTGAACCAGCAGTACCACTGTGGCTCTCTAAGGAACTTCTGAGCAGCCTGAGGGGCAGCTGTGCTATGAATGTTTGCTGAATAAATGAATGAATGGAGTCTTATTCCCAGGAGCAGACCTGTGAAATTCCTCGAGTGGAGTGGGGAGTCCTGGTTGAATTCACATCTAGACGGTCTTTCTGGGAGGGACTTTACACTCAGAAAAGCAGAGCTAACAGTGATGTACACCAAATACCAGCGAATGTGACTGAAACCCCTTGTAGATGTATCCCTGGAGACAACTGTAGCTCGTTTTGGTCTTGACAGGCCTTAAAACTCCAGGCCAATGTTTACAAAGCAAAAGAACCATGAATGAGGCCTGCAGAAAGTTTTATAAGAACTTTTCTCCCTCACTTCTTTCAAGAAAGACTCGAAGAAGCAGAAGATAGCCAAATGGAGGAAGATCAGAGTTCAATAAAAATGCAGTAAGGTGGAGCGAGCAAGTGTCATTTCTGGAGAAAGCTGGACAAGCGTCTGATGGCACCCATTAGAAGTTTAGTCAGTTGCAGCCAACACATAACATCTGATGCTTGAGCTTTGTGCCATGCGCTTTCTGTGTATCATCCTCATGTTAAACCTCTGAGGCAGGCACTCATATCCATTTGCAGAATAGGAAACTGAGGCACACAGAAGTGAGGCCACTCACCCAACACACCAGAGGTAAGATGAAAGATGATGCCCCTGCTCACGACACACCTGCAGGACATGAGACATGTACCTCTGAACTCTCTCCTTTTATATATGGATACTAGGACACACTGAACAAATTCATGGAACTGCTTCTCCTGAGAGAGACCGTGTGACCTGGGCAAGCCTTCTCACAGCCGATTAGGAAAAGGAACTGGGCTCTTCTGACACAGAGGGCGGGGGTTGTATGTGTTGGGGTAAAGCATAAGGAAGAAACAATGATGGGTAAACTCAGGGTATTGAGGGGACAGGATGTAGGAGTGGGGCCTGGGCATTCCCTGCCTCCTCCCTTCCAGCCTAGGGTGCTCTCCTGCCTCCTCAGAGATTCAGAACCAAGTCTCAGCAAACAAAAGACCTGTTCATGAGCATCAGGTGACTCCCCTGCCGCCTCTATGGAAGAGGGCTATTGAAACAGGCTCCGTGGGAACTGTGCTATGAGCTCACGGCTCTCTCAACAGCCGGGCCAAGATGATGACAGCATCCTTTCAGGATGGATGCTGCTTGTGGGGCGCTCTTCTGCATCCACTCTGGGCATCCACAGTGGCAGCTCAGGACAACTTGGAAGTGGTGTTTCTCCTCCCGGGTAACCATGAGTGGTCAGTCAGGGAAGTGAGTCACTTGGTAAGCACGGACTCTGTTTTCCCCAGGGACTCCTATGGGAGCGTCTCGATGTGTACTACATGTGATGTGGTAGTCGTTACCACCACCATTAAACAGACATGGAAACATGAGAGTAGAGAGGGATTGGAGGCTCAGGTCTGGACTTGGTGATCTGCCTGCCAGCTTCTCACTTTTGACACGCAAGCTGTGGGGTTCAATATGCTACTTTCTTGGTCTCTGGGCTACGGAGTCCAGGCAGAGATGCCTGAGGTGGCAGAAAGAAAGGCCTAGGAGACAGGGGATCTAAGTTGGAATCTTGTCTCAGAGATACAGGGCGAGTCAGAGCTTGTTCTTTGATCTAGAAAATGGGACTGTATGTACCTTGAGGGACTCCTGAGAGCAAGAGAAACAGATGTATGTAAAGGGTCATGGGCGGGCTTTGCTGGGAGCAGATGTTTGGTGCATGAAACTGCTGTTTTCTATAAAGATCAGTCTGTTGTAGGAACAAAAGGTTGTGGCTGGGTGGGGGTGGGGGAGACCAGTTTTCCAAGTACGAGCTTGCAAATTGTCTCCTCAGAGAAGGATACTTCAGTTTTCACTTAGAACCCTAAAAAGGCTACATTCATCTAAAAATTGGGGCTATTACTTTAGCCACTGACGTGCTGGACATTGGAGAAGCACCTGACATTATGTCTAATTGCACCAAATGGACTTGAATCAGGGCCTTTGAAGTTGAAAGGCCTTGGGTTCTGGAGCTTTATAGAGACAGGTCTGCCATGTCATCTAGTTTCCCACTTCTCTCTGGGAGGGCAGTTCTCCTGGGCCTGCATCTTTCATTGGTAGCGTTGGCTTGTGGCAGCCCTTGCTTAGGAATTCTGTCTGAAGGGCAGCGGCAGGTGTCACCTTAGATGAGGCTGAAGCCACAGGTCAGCAATTAAGAGAGTCAGAATTGCCATGAGTTGGGCCGGGTGCACAGCGATGTCCTCAGTGTGTCCCTAGGTACTGTGGCTGCTCTCTCTACTGCCACTCCCAAACTACCAAGTATCTCAGAAATACCAGTACAAGTTCCTGAAGATAAAGGCACTCCACAGGATTAATTTACCACTGGAAGAATCCCACAGGGCCTGTGAGAGCTGGGTGATAAGTAAATGCCTACCTCTTGGAGGGTGGCTTCCACACATTCCTTCCCTGTCCTGCCTTGGGTTATAAAGCTCCCCGAGCCTGCTGAATCCCTAACACAGTGCCGTGCTCGTCATATTTGCTTAATCAATGAAGAATCCTTGTAGTGAGGACATGGGGTGAGGACACAGGAAAGCCACGTATCTGGTGCTATCCGTCATCACACCAGTATCTTTCCCACACCCTTCCTTGGAGATTCGGGCTGCGGGAGCAGAAGCTCCTGTAGAGTCAGTCTGGCTCAGAGAAGAAAGAGAACATAGCAGTCAGCACTGTGCTGTCCCCTTGGGACACAAACCTAAGGCCTCAAGACCCTCCACCAACTAGCTCAACAGCCCAGAGCACACACTCAGCTCCCGCCCATGGCCCATCACCCTCTGTACAGCCTCTGAGAAACACACCTGTGGTAGCTACATCTTCTAGGTCTCTGTTCTGTAACATGTGTCTTACAGTTGAGGGTGGTTTGTGTCCTTCCTGTCTGCCTTAAGGTGGAGGTGTTGCCTGGGCAACAGTGATGCCATCTGACATGCTTCCATTCCAGTGATGTCACTGGGTGGGGCACATGGGCATAGGGGAGATATATTCTCTACAGGGAAATCTCAGGGGTCCTAAACCATTGAAGAGGACCCTAGGGGGCCTTTTGGACACTCTCAGGAGACTTTTTTTTTTTTTTTGTCTAGAGGCCTCTCTACCCTGCTTTCTTGTCTGGGCACCTGTTGCAGGCCAGGCTTGAAACCGGCTTTCCCTCAGGCCAGAAGACCAGTTTGACCCCAGCTTGGGGAGACAAGGAAGCTCTCCTTCTGTCCCAGTGGAACAGTCTGGATCTCTGTGGCCTCGTTTTTTCATCCAGA